TTTGATTTCAAAGTTCTCACAAACAGAATATTGAAGATGAAAGGTGATTGTTACAGAACATTTATCAGCACGATCGATAATGTCTCATGGTGAATCATAAATACGAAACTGATCAAAGCTGAAACTTCAGGAGAGCTGTTCGCATTCAGAGTATCCCGTATTTCCTTGTAGTAAGTCAGTTGTTCTAACCACTTCACTTCTTTTTCCCTCAGGTGAAGCTGACGAGATATGAAGGCTATGAAATCTAGCGCCCATGAAGACCAAAAAGATGACCGATTCCCATTTGAGCTTCTCCCTCATGAAATCAAAGAAATGATTCTCGAAAGAGTAATAGATGAGACAGCGGACTTCGATGACTTTAAGGTTCTCACAAACAAAGTATTGAAGATGTAAGGTGATTGTTTCAGAAGTTCTGGAGATTGAGACTCGTTAACAAGGAGTTTAACTCCATCTTGAGCAGCAGCTATGCTCGTCGGCACTTCCTCAGTTACCCAATTGCAATTTTTTTGCGAAAACACGATCTTGAGAACCACGTTTTCATGGATATCACCGTTACAGATGAATTCATACACGGATATCTTCCAATTAAATGGTTCAACCCAGAATCAATTAGATTGGAATTAAACGGTGAAATGAAATGGGAAGATGTTCCAAGATACTTCAAGTAACTCTCTCATCGAATCCTCTTTTCTATTTTTGTTTTCAGAGATAAACCGTTCAGAATAAGGTTTTTAGAAATAGACGCAGGATGTGATGTATCAAATGCTCATATGATACGGGCTCTAAGAGAATTGGCCAACCAAACTTCCGAGGTATGTCATTCCTTTCTTGATCTCAGTCAANAGGTATGTCATTCCTTTCTTGATCTCAGTCAATGCTCTACAACAGACACTTGATGTGAAAATTGTGTGTCCTGTCGTAAGTTATACTAGTGATTATGTCCTCTCTGAGAAGAAGACGACGCTGGGAGAATTCATTTCTCAATGCGGATTACCGGTGTGATACTTATGGAGTAGAGTGTCATGTATGAGAAGCTCGTGATTGTATTCATTGTATCGATAAACATGTGATTGAACTCTTCTTAGATTTCTTGACATGGCAGTAGAAAACTCCCATTTGTAATCTCAACAATCGTGTTTTCAACTATCTTGTGTTTTATCTGTTGTGGGATCTGCAAGTCTCAACCCTAGTTTCGATAG